AGCCAGACCTTTGGTTAAGATATTCTATTTACTCAAGTGAGCGTTGGTCGGATTGGGCTCCTGTTGCTCTCGGCAAAATATCGTCATCACATCGCCCAATGGCCCCATGCTGGTGATGCACCACAAGATCCACTCTGGCCACCATGGGCAGAAGATCGGAACCACATAGCCATGGTTCCAGACTGACCCCAACAATTCTTGAACGCTTTCCATTAGATTTCAATCATGTTGGATGGTTGACCCTAATGATATCTAATGATTCTGGGATGATCACAGTAATTTCCTGCTCCATACCGCTCAGCAACCAATGGAGGCCACCCTCTCCCAACGCCCTCGGGCATAGGCCGCTGGATGGGATTTGGTTCACACTAAAGAGCTGGTTAAATGGAAGTTTATCCTTCCAAACATGGTCCCATAGGTGTTGGCTCATGACAACTGTTCAATGGTTTCTTTTCCAGATCCAAGAAACATCTTCCTCGCGGTTTGTGAAAGGTACCGGGATCTTATTATTTGATCGTCTTTGTAAAAAGTCAGATAAGTCAGGCTTGGATGCATGGAAGATAATGTTTTAGAGGTTTAATTCGGCGAATATCGTAGCTGCTTCCATCACATGCATATTTATATACATATATACATACTGCTAGATAGATTGATACCCTACTGTTTGGCACATGTGGGAAGCAGTTTGCCTTCAAAGTTTCGCTTCAAACGTGTTTGCAAGAAGCCACGCATTGATATTGAATGTTGGAACCCCCATATCAAGGTATCTTTTTTAAGGGTTCCGCGTCATGTCCCCCATATTGGCAGAACAAAATTGCGTCTTTTTTGGCGGGAAGTAAAGACCACTAGTACCCAAGTAAACATCCCAAGTTCATACGTTGACTTGCGCATTGGTTGACGTGCTCCCTTCTTACACATTCACAGCAATGGGGTTGGACTTTTTAATCTGCTTCCCCGGACGGAGTGAAACGTCATCAGATTACCCTCCCCAGGCATCATGCATTCCTCCGCCATGTCGACAGTCCAGATGCCGGGGTCACTGGAAGTCACAGGGCTTGGGGGCCGTACTGTTCCTAACGGCAGTGTTTGAGAAGGGAAGCTGGGATATGTGCAGAGATTATTCCTCCAACAACATACTTATATAATATAATCTTAAAACTTATATATATATATACACGTAGATTCATTGTTGCTGGTTTTTGTTTGTGAGTGTTTTATGGAGAGGTTTTGCGCATGCCCTTTGTCCTTCTGTGGGTACTTCTAGTTTAGACTTTTAGTCCACAAAAAGGCTTTTGTAGATAAGATACCCCTCGGACGTAGTTATATCTATCTATACATACGCCTTGCCCACGAAACATGTCTGGTACCATTGAGATGCCCTTAGAACCCCCATGATTCTTGTCATTTCTTGTCTGCATGCGCTTGGTTGCTGGTAAAAAACGGAGTTTCACAATGTCCCAAGATATCGGAAGATGTAGCCCCTGTGGCCCCTGTGGCCCCTGAGCCCTGGCGATTTTTCAGGTCTTCGGTGATCAACTTCCATCAGGCCAAAAATGAGACACCAGGGTATGCTGGGGTCGTCTATCCCGTGAATGTCTGAGTTCTTGTGGTTTCATGTCATTTTGTGAAGACCTGAACACAGAATAATACAGGCTATGTTGTAACAAGTTGTAACAAGTTGTAGCTGGTAATAGGTAAAACTAGTTATTACTACTTACTACTAGTTACTACTAGTTACTACTAGTTACTAGTATAATAAGTTTCACTCAGCTTTGCGATTTCCATTTCCATGGCGAGGCTATTGAGGAGACCAAGGGCGACTGTCACTGTCCATGTTGTCCCTGTTGTGCCTCGATTGTCCAGCGGGCAGCGCTGGGGCGGGTGGTTTTAGGGGATTGGTGCCATGCAAATCCATGTGTTGGAGGACTGGATTCAATTGGACAATTCAAGATTCTTTTGGAAAGCAGCAATTGTCCAAACTGCAATGGTGACATCTGTCAAAACCCCATGAAAATGATGTGTTCCAGAAGAGGTCTTCTGTGAACAGCCCGAGGTTGTTGTTGTTGTCGATGTTGTGTCGGGTGCCTCAGGAAATTCAGCCCCGCTTTTGGCCGATTGGAACCCCTAAGCATCAAAGTGATCCTATCATTGATGATTTGCACAAAAAGTCTTCATAGGTATGTTCCACAAATACCCAACTTCATGTTTTGGCTGTTCACATTTAATGCTTTGCTATATATGTCCCAAAAGTCACCAAGATATACCAATCATCAGCTCAACAGCCAACCACATGGGCACTGCCCTGGACGCATCTCTCAGTGTGTTGAGGCTTAAACTCGCAACATCGACATGACCTGTGAGGATCTCAGATATTCGTGGGATTACTTGGCCAGCTGAGCAGTGAACACCCATCATCTGGTTTGCCATGTTTGGGATAAAACTGAAGTGTGCATGCTGGACGTCTACTTTATTAGCTTGGCATGCAAGTTCTTGTTCCTTTCTTGAACAAAACCAAAGATCAGCTTTAGAAGCCTAAAACTGGATGTTGACAAAGGTATCAGAAGAGCAACAGTGCAAGCAGAGGAACGTGTCAGGGAATCAGTGTGTCAGCGAGGTCCAAAGCGCAAAAAGACCATTTGGAGGCTCTCAACAGCCCTTGCTGATATCTGGGATAACTGGGATAGCTGGTCAGAAGCCTGGAAAAGATTAGACGGCTAACTGCTTGTTGGAATGCCTTTCAGATGGTTACGGAAATGATTCATCAAATTTGGATGACTCAAATACTTTGATAATATACATATATATATATACTGGTTCTGGATATTTATGAATATTGTGGTTCACCAACTTCACCTACTCCCCAGCCGGTGACTTTGATCAACCCTTTCGCCAGGTTTTTGGAGAAGCTGCAGCAGCTTCTGCCAAGGCTGGAGCCCATTTTTTGTTCGCTGAGTACCGGTAACCCACCACCGGCACAGGTTGGAGCACGAACGGCCGGGAACCCCAGTTGGCTCGAAAAGATGTGATTTCCAATATGATTTCCATCGTTTCCAATGTCCATCGTTTCGTTGAAGACGTCGGCATGGCATTCATGACAGTTTCATATCTAGTTGGGTCCTGTCGCGACAACCACCAAGGCGCTCCAAGATTCTGAGGAGTCTCAATGAGGCTGGGAGGGCTGACGGTACGTGATTGCTTTTCTGTTTTCTCCAAGTTCATTTTTTGGAAGCCAAGAAACGGGCTGTTTCAAAACCTACCATTTTCATGGGCCAATCGGCAGATCACATCAAAAAAATTAAGGCACAGCTCTGACCAGGCACAGCGTCGAGACTTAGAGCGTTGGATGCTGGAGCACGAGGGCCCAGCGGGTTGGAGCCCAATGGCGGATATCTCAAGATGGCAACTTTTTGTCGGAAAAAAACGGAAAAGGTGATGATCAATCATGGGATTTTTGGTATATTTTTGAGGTACCCCATTTTCAGACAAACCCACCCATTGCTGGAAGATGATATCCCCATTTTTACGTAGGTTTTTTAGCCTCTCTGTGTTAGATCCGTAGCGAAGGGTTCAAGTTTTGACAGGTCCTAGGTTAGCATCGGTTAGCATTTGAATGTGTTAAAGATGTCCTGGGTGGCTACTTGATGCTACTTGTAGCTTGTGCTGTGTGTGTGTGAAACACATTGCAATTGCAGTATCTATCTACAACTTGAATGTGCACAAGGATTTCTTATGACAGGTGCAACAGATTAGCGACGTGCAAGGGTTGTGTCCCTGGTCATGGTTAATACGAGCTTTGTGAAGGAGTCTTCAACCCTTTTATTCTTTGCGACTCTGCGCTGCCAGCTTTTTTGTGACTAGCGCTTCAGAAATTAAAGACATCAAAAGCGACTGGAAGTCTTGCGTTGTGTAAGTTGTGGCTTGTGAGCCCAGGTTCAAGGTAAGAACATGCTGAGTAGTTGGTGGCTTTTAGCTTGTTTCAGAGGGCTGCTTCAGAAGTGTCTTCATGTTTTTTAAGATTGCACTTCTATTTGATAATTGCAGCTTGGAAATCTATGTGTTAAGTAGCAAGTTCACAAAGCACCCGTAGCAATTGAGCATTTGACTCTTCAAAAAAGATCAGCTATGAGAGGTGCAATCTGCAATCATGTACTAGAAAAATATATTATAGCAGTTAAGCAACCTACGAACTACTGTTACATTATGTATACACAAAAGGGTCTTTCTTTCTGAGTCTCCCTGATTCTGACTCCATCTTCTGTACTCTTTCCACCCTTTGGGAGCTTTTGATTTTCTCCCTCAACGGCACAGCTTCGATCAGGTACAAATCTGGACAGCCCAAAACTCTTCATGGCCCCGTGGTGTGGAGCTCGGGTGATGAAGATCTGTGAATTGCAATCGATGCCAATTTTGGTTGGAATTTTGTGATGTTTTGTGATGTTTGAGGGCGAAACTATTTTGCCAATAGCTGAGCTTTTTGGCGGGTGTTCGACCTTGCGCGCCATATCAGGTGGCCACACCGGTCCGCAGTGCGATGCAAGGTGCGCCAAGGGATGGAAATCTGCCTGGTGGGTTGGAGTTGATTCCTGTCAATCTGTAGTTTTCCTTTTCAGTCCTGGGGTTCCAAGATCAAGTATCCCAACATTTATTTGAAGACTACATGTTTCAAAGAATGAGAAGAAACCTTGATAGTCCACATGCTTGGGTGAACTACAACGACCTCGCAATCGCATCACTGCACGTGAGAGCTAGTAGGAAATGTAATAGCTACCAAAAAACGTTCTATCCCCATCTATCCCCTACAGCATCCTTCTATGATTGGGGTTCTCTAATTCACAGGCAGGAGGTAAAGCGAACCATGGATATGTATGGATATGTCATATCTTGAGGACAAAATGCGTCCATGGGAAACATCCCAAGTACCATGGCCGGTGACGACCTCACTGCAGCTGGGGGTCAAGGCTCCTGGGCCGCTGGGCCGGTTGGCCAACCAACGTAGTGCCATGGCTCTCCGTTGGATCCCATGGCTCTGTGCTGTGTGCATTTTGCAACCTGTGCTGTGCAGCAACTCTGCCAGGAAAGTTGGTGACCAAATTGATCCCTTGGGAACTTAGCTTTTCCATGATTTTTTTATCAAAGATGGCACTTTGTGGGAACTTCCAACTTGTCTAAAGTGTCTAAAGTGTTATGTTTCAATTAAAGGTCTCAGATGGAAAAGCCTATGGCCTGGATCATCCCATTAGTCACCGAACTGGAAGCCAGACGAGACGAAATACGTACCAGTCACCTGCATTGAACAGAAATCATCAGGAAGGCAGCTATGAATAGCTGACCAATGATCAAATGCAGCCAGGGTGGTTTACACGACCTTTACACGGGGAAGTACATTAGAATTACCCAACATTTGAGCCAGTTTCATATCCCATGCTTCCATTTTATGCTCACATTCCCATTGTGTCCAACTATACTCTTAAGCCACCCCACCCATTTCCAGTTCATTTCCGTGGTATTCAGCCAGATAGTTTTCTTAAAAAACATACATTTTCAAAAAAAAAATATCGGAAAAAGCTTGAACCCCCCAAACGGCGCCAGGTAAATTCCACACCCTGCGCGGTGTTTTGGAAGATCACCACCTGGAACGTGCCAACTTTGCCCGGCGAACGCCAATGAAAGTGGCACTGGCCTGTGCAGCTGGGCACTTTCTTTTATGCCAGTGGTGGAATTTGTGAGTTTAATTATGGTTATACTATAGTAACATACCTGGTAAATCTGCTGATTGTCATCTTTCATTGGTTGTTTTTCATGATTTCATGGTGCTTTCATGGTGATTCAATGGATTTTGCAGGTGATTTTTACCACCAGACTTAAACCCGGCCATTGCAGTTGCAAAGTGTGATTGTAGTCATAGTAACTCCCCATGCTGTCAATGTATCTTCAAAACACAACCAAAATAAGGTCCGTTTTGCTCATGAATTATTGGATGTTCATGTTTGCACACCATTGTCGAGTGCTTCAGCTGAGGCAGTAGCGACTTCGATCATCACTTACTTCCTCTACAAGGCTCTTCGATCACGTCCTGTGTGCCCCATACTGGTGGGACCTGCTGCTCTTTTTGTTTCATGTGAAGACTTGAAAAAAGTGGGTGACTTGGGAAGAAGTCCGACTGCAAATCTCGTTGGAAAATTAACAAATCCAAGATATGAATTTGCGGAGATGCGTAATGAGAGTACCAGAATAGAAAGAGGACAAGCTGAAGAATGACTGGGAAGCGGCTAGAAAACCAATCCCTGCAATTCGTCAAGGTAGTGCCAGTGCAGATTTTTGCGTTTTCGGCAAACTTAGTCAATGAAACTTGGAATGAAAAAAGGCCAGGTCTTATAATAGAACGGTTTCTGTTGAAACTACTAAAGTAGCGGGAAGTGCTGTCATCGCCTGTGTTTAATCCGAACATCATCTTTTACGGAGGTGGCCATTCCACTACACCATGGTTGTTTCGGTACGTATTACGTGACACAAGTATGGATAAAAGATGATAAAAGTATGAAAAGATGGGAAATCATCATTTTGCTATACCACTTCTCAATACTTATCATCTTTGATTATACCTAATCTTTTGTTATCTCTGAGCCCCTCCGATGGTCCCATTTGAGTCCCTCCAACGGAATTCGTCAGGTCTACATTGACAGCATGCTTCGGCGACGGGAACTGGACGAGGTCAGCTGTCAGAACTGTGGCTTTCAGCCACCAAAAATGGTGCACAAAACGGTAAGATCAGGATGATTTGGGAGGTTTAAGAGGTGAAAATTGGTAAGTCTTCGAGAACTGAAGATCCGTGCTTCCGAATCACTTGGATTAGTGGCATGGAGAAAGAATGTAAATAAATGTAAAAAAAGCATTCCTTTGGTGAAAGCAGGCCCCGACCCGGCCTTCTCAGTCCGGATTTGCTTGACTACACATGTTTTTCCAACCAGATTCACCATATTCATGTCCAAGTATTCCCAAAGTCAGATCTGAAATGCTAGTAATGTAGCCTGTTCTGACGGCTGATAGATTTCTTTGGCTACAGGTGCCAAAATTGGAAACCCTAAGAATCTATTCAAACTGGCTGCGTTTGGAAACCAAGATTTGCGTGGGTTCCCACAGCCGTGGTCAGGACGAGATTGAACAGTTAGCCAAGGCAGCCGACAAGAGGGAAGCCGCCAAAATCAAAAAGGAGCCGCCAACTCCAATTGAAAAAGTGAAGGAAAGAAAGAGACCTGAAACTTGTCTGGTTTAAAACAGTTTGTTGGTTTTCTGGGCGAAGTATGGGGCATATGTTGTACCAGAGAATTGGATAAGCCCTAGATCCCTAGAAATCAATGCCCCTTGTGCCTTTTGTGTTTTTGTGGTGTCTAGAGTCAGCTTCTTCTAGTCCAGATCCCGCGTGTTCGTCGTGCCCGGATGCTGTGCTAATGCTTTATTTTCACATTGCTCCGGGTCACCTCAACACAACTTGATGTAAATAAGCCTTTGAGAACGTGGTTCTGTGGCATAGATGATCATAGATGTGTCTAAAAATCTTCATGCTGCGTTTTCTGGATGTGGCCTGCCACTTTTGTTCCTCCAATCTGAAGACAGGCCCTGTCGTCCAAGGAGAGAAAAGGAGAAGATACTGGATGTTGTTGCTCGGCTTGCATAAATCCAAGGCATCCGGGACGACAACCATGCCCTCGGCTCGTAAGGCCAAGAGCCTCTTCAACGCAATCGAGCCCATGATGCTCTCTACATTCTCTACCATCATCTAATATATTCCCAAAAAAATGTTTTGAATCTGAGAAGCAGAGGGTCACTTGACTACGTAAGGGTTGGAACTTGTTGGAACCATGTCTGGATTCATCATGATTCATCATGTTTGCTCTTTCTCAAGTCCACTTTCTCGTAAACCGGAGTCATTTCCGAGTCATCTCCCATCATTTCGCCAGGTTACAATGGCTTGCTCCGTCTAGGCCGTGGCAAGGCCACGGCATCCAAGCCAGCCGCGGCCTCGCCGACGGAAGCGACGTCACCGGCACTGAAAAGACCCGACTTTTCGGGAACTTGGATGCTGGGACCACAAAAAGTCGGGATGGGTCCACAAAATGATGCCCAAAATGCTTCCAAATGGTGATAACCATGAGGATTTGGGGCCTATTTTCAGAACCCAAGATGTGTGCTACTTTTGGATGACGTAGGTGTTGGATGCCTCCGTTGACAGAAAAATCACGCACGATGAGTTTGGCAGGTGATTCCGTGTGGACTTGACCAGTGAATTTCAATGACGGCTGTGTGACGATAGACTATGGGACACACAATCTGTGAAGGTTTATCTAGACATATCTAGACATATCTAGACTGATCTCATCAGGTACCTCTCCACCTATATCCACCTATATATCCACCTATATAATATATATATATATGTCAATTTTGTATGGATTACCCATTTTTTCGTTTTCCCTGGACATGTCTGAGCCCAAGGAGCTGCGTGAAGGCCGAGGGCGACCTCGATGGCCTTTACGCGGCCATGGGCCTGGGGTACTTCGCACGCTGCGCCATGGAGCGTGCCCAGTGGGGCGCGGGGCAGTTGAGTCGGACCTACGAACAGCAGGGTACCATGGCCATGGTGGATGGTGGGTGGAATCGACAAATCAATTTGAGGGTTTGATAAATGTGTTGCCTTTGCAATGGATGTTTGGTACCAAAAAAAGCCGTTCACGAGGAGTGTGAGCTTGCTCATTGGTGCTTGCAAGTTTTTGACGTGTCATTTCCATGTGGAGATGTATCACTTGACAGGGAAGCAAGCGAAAATATGGGCTTGAAGCTGCACCAAAGTGCAGCATGAACACTTGAGTCGTTGCTTCGTGTTTGTGTTTCATGAGTGTGTCAGCGTATATCCCATAAAAATGGTTTCCTAGGGCCTCCTTTTTTCCCTTGGTGAAATGCCGGATTGTGAGGTCCTCCTATTTTGTGATCCGCATGGTTTTTGGTTCACAGGCGTCAGAAAACAAGAAACCTACAAGGACACCTTTCTGTCCTTGAAATTCCTAGTGACACCAGTTTCTGTATGGAACCTTCCATGTTTCACATTGTATGGGTTAACGGAGATATGCTGTGATTTCCAAAGTGCCAGACCAATATCGCCACATTTGTTGGTTATGAGGTTTGTATTGTAAAGAGTAACATTGGCTATGGGGTTCTGATCTTTGTTCCGACATATTTGTTGGTATATGTTGCTATTCTGTTTCTAGGGACCGCCCGCACTGTGCCCAGGCACCCACGTGAAGTTGGTGCAGAGGGCCACAGAAGAAACAACGCAGGAGCAGTCGCCTGGGAATCTCCAGACGGTGGGGTTAACCATGGGGATTTACTCAGATAGGATTCACCAATGAAAGATGTGGATTTCAGAGGATTCATTTCTGATTTTTTAAACGGGATATATTTGGCTAGCTCGGCAGTGGAAGATCTTCACATCGTCGACAGGCTCTGCATAAGACTATCATTTGCGGCCTTTTTGGACAATTGCATGAATACATGTAGATACCAACCAGGGGCCCCAAACAACGGTGTTCACGCTGTTTTGATTGTTTGCTCCAGCTAAAATAAAGTCGAACTTCAAACAGCAAGTTCATTCCAAGTTGCAATCTTTTTTATTTTTACCTTGGAAAATTGCTTGTGCTTACTATGTTTCTGCATACATCCCCTTGAAGAAACACTGCTATTATTTACCGCGTCCTTGTCTTCTTCAAGCTTGACAAGAAACTGCATGCAAAGCGAAATTGAATTCCACAAATATACTGTGTTCTTTCTTCAAACCCTTAGAAGAAATTGCTCGAAGCATGCATGCGTGCCTGAAAATCCCAAGGTCGTATTGTTGTTGTATCTGGCTGATTTGAACTCAAAAACCTAGTGACCTTGTTGAAAAAGATGCGTTTGTTGAGGAACAAGAGGAGGCCTGTGGAACTGTTGAGAAGTGCAACTGTTTTCATCTTTTGACAGACCTCCGCAGAAGGTTGTAGATTCTGGAAACCCTAAATGTTTGCCAGGATAATGAGTTTTCTTCTTGCTCCCCCCCTTCCTGAGCCAGGATTATAGAGTTGGGATGATGGTCATTTTAACAGGGGAGATGCTCAATTGCCCGATTTGTTTGTTCGACCCACACTCACATTAATGGAGATGCCAATGTAGATACACATAGCCACCCATTTGCATGCCTTGCAGTTCTTGATTTTGTTGCTCCAAAATCATATTGTCATTAGGAAACACCCTTGAGTTTTGCGGTTACCCCAACCGCTCGCTTTTGTCGAGGAGTTTGACATCACTGGTACTCCCCAGAAGGAACCTCGCCCAAAATTGGCGAGATGCTGCCAAGCAATCCGAGCATGGGTGGCTGCATTGGTAATTGGTTTCGTTTTTTTCGTATTAAGCAATCCTGCCTTTTGGCTCCCTCTTGTTGCTGTTTTGCAAAGCATTGAAAAATCGATTGAAAACGGAAACATCTGGAAACAAAGGCTCGCCACACTGGAGTCGTTCGCGCTGCAGGTCTCTCAGGGTGACGGAGTGGTGATTCAAACAACCAGCTGGGATGAACGCGAGGTCGAGGGGCGGAAATGACAATGGAATGTTGTTCTGGTTACAATCCAGTTGTTTTGCTTGTATATATATATATACAGAGAGCGAGAGAGAGAGGGAGAGGGAGAGAGAGGTTGTTTGTTGTTTTATTTATCGATTTATTTCTTCATGCATTTACTTTGATTTAGACATTTATTTGTCTATATGGATCGCATATACCCATGCATGAAGAGTGCTATTTAGTTATTGGCATCTCCAAGTAGATCACGTGGCCCATCCACGTCCCCACGCCAGGAAGGAGTGCTCTTGTTTGAGACAAAGGACTTGTTGGGTCCCTCGTATGCATCGTGGCGTCATCGATGAAGTCTGTATGAAGTCTGAAGTCTGTGGCGTTCGGTGCCAAGGCAACAACCCAAATTCGTGGACCACGAGCCGACAGTACCTGAAAGGACCGGGAGGTGATGGGTCCAGGGCATGTCCAGCATGGCCTAACAGGAATTGTGGCTGGCTCTGACCTGTAAAATTCCGACGAAACGAACAGGGAATCCATCAGAGAATTTGTTCGCAAAATGACCCAGTTTGAAGGACTAGTAACACCTGTTCACTATTTGCATCCAGATGTGTGTCTGTGTGTGCGTGAAACAATAATTTTGCCTGTTTACCCCCAGAAATTCAACCTCGAACCATCTCGAACCAATCAATTTTATCTTCAGAATTGTTTTCCAAAAGCAGTTTCGTTGTTCCGCATGAGTTTTCAAGGGTTTATGAGTCATTATGAGTCAAGAACATCCAGGAGATGAGCTGATCATTGAGGTGTTGGGAGCCCGTGGGCATCAAGCAGTTTGGACCTATCACAGGGGCTGAGCTGACGCAGCCTGACGCAGCCTGACGCAGCCTGACGCAGCCCGCCCTAGCTGAAAAAGCGTCGCCGGCAACGGTAGTGGGGGTTGCATATGACTCCTTGGCTCTTTTTGGTTCTTTATGGCAACTTTATGGTCCTTTATGTTCTTTGCTTTGTTTTGAGATACTTGTTCTTAAATACCCCAAAGTACCACGTATTTTCAGGTTTTCGTTTCAGGATGCTTTAAAAGGCGTCTGGGGCCGTAGACTCAGAGGCCTACGTGACGGTCCTGAGAACACCAGAGTCGCATTGTGCCAGGCACCCGCTGCCGAAAGCGCAGCGATGGCGCAGGGAAAGGGGTGCTTTCCCGAAGGCGCAGCGGCTATATCTGGATGTGGCAATGTCATCTACACACTAATGGAATGGGATGGCTTCGATAGAGGATTTTTACATCAGAGTATGTTGTTCTGTATCACATGGTAAGTGTTTGGCAGGAATGATACAATGAAGCTTCACAACTATTGTACTACAACTATTGTACCACCCGGGTATGGATCAGAACCCCGTGAAAGACCGAATGAACAATAAATATAGCCCCAGTTTACTTCCATTCTACCCCCAGTATACACCACAAACTATGGTAGATCAGTATACTAAGACATGTAATTGATAGTGTCTTAATATGTTTTAATCATATCTATGTTGGTTGGTGATTTCACATATGTTTATTTCCAAACCCTGGTCCGGACCAGCGATAAATTTCCAGTGTTGTTTCCAAAAGAAGCCTAGATGTATCTACGGTATATCACCCTTCTTACTCCCTTTACTTGTGGTGGATTATTCCCAGCAGATAGTCCCAATTCCCACTAAAAAAACATGACAATGTATAGATATATATATATCACTGTCTTCACTAATTCTTTGTTGAGTCGGCTTACTATGATAGTAATTTTGAACTATAGTTACTGGATATAAGGCACATAGAACAGACTGCTGGAGATATATATATATACCCAATAAATCCTCCAACATAGTGGGTATAAAACAGTATATAGTCAGTTGTTTATGATCTACTGGATATATCCCCATTAGTTCATGAAAGTTCCAACTAACCAAAAAAAACGGTGAGGCGCTATGGTACCTGGCGTTACTTCGCCGTGGTGGTGGTGCATCGTTTGCAGCTGCGCAGTAAGGAGGTGCGAACTTTCGCCAATGGTGAGTTTAACCAGCAACGATGGTGGGGATTGACTCCAGAAAAAATGCTGGTTTATGTTGGTTTATGTGGTTTCATTCATGAATGACAAAAACAAAGAATGTGAACCAACAAAGTTTGGTTTTAAGCTGCGGAAGTGGTGATTTACATGCGTTTACCTAATATTTCCCCATCCTGTGGGTGTTGAGAGGTATACCACTGACAAAAGCGTGGGAGTTTTCACGGTTGCGCAAGGAAATTGGTGGTTTCACCGCCGAAGATCAATAATGTTAATTTTGCCGGCAGAATAGAGACAGTAGAAAACTTGAAAGGATGTGTGTTTGATTTGTTTCCATTCGCTCTCCTCTGTTTTAGACGTTGTTTGAAAACCATCTCAATGATACAATTTCTGTAACTTGTTGCCACAACTAACACCAGCTCTCAAACCTTTGGGTAAGGCAGAGTCCACGAGAAAGACCTGAGACATCCTGTGGAATCTGACGGGTATAGCCCTTGCCCTCATAACAACACTGAAGATCCATACAAGACCTCCATGTGAATTTTGTGGGTCTGCTTGGGGAAAGTCGCAATCATCCTCTCCTAATTCGCGGGGGTTGCAGCCAACAAACATTGGAACTATTCGATTATCAAACACACTCAAACAACCCTATAGATACACGCATCTATCAGCCTGGCGGAAGGTAGATTTTCCTCGTTGCCAGTTGTAGCGTCAGGTTTGGTACCTTTGGTAAATATACTTTGGTCAAGATAGGCAGCATCTATTGTTTTTCTATCTGCTGGATTCTCACACCCAGTGAAGCTCCAGGTGCACTGCTCCCACTTGGCCGCCAAGCATCACGCACTGCTGCTGGAGATCAAGCAGGAGGTCGGCTGTTTTAAGGTCGCCACTGGGGATTTGGCGATTTTTAGGTATTTTTTAGGTATTTTAGTCCAATTCCAAATCCCATCCCCAATTGGTCGGAGCACCCGTTGCCAGATCGCTGCTGATCTCTGTGCTCAACGATTGCGACAGAAGCCGGATGAGGTCTGGTAATTTAGATTGCCGACTTGTAACTTCCAGAAGTCCTGCCTAACAGATAGATTTGGAAGTGCTAAACTTGCCTTTGAGATGTTTTTTCATCTTGAAAATGCGGATTTTCTGCCCGGGTCGTTTTGCTAGGCCTTGGCTAGTCGCCTCCACCACAAGGTGGCAGATGGAGGGAGGAGGAAGCAGGTAAAACCTGAAACCAAATACCCGAAGGACCCAAAGGACCCGAAATCAGCATGTGAGGGAAAGATGGGGATTCCAATGAGGTTCAGCTTCACATACAAATGTGTTGAAAGAGTCTACCCTTCTGATCGGTAATCAATTTGCCAGGCAAAGGATGCTTGCCTTGATCTGTGCAATCTGTTGATGACAGAATGACAGAAGAAAAGCTGGTAAAGGATTTCGTCACAGAGCTGACTATGTACATTAGGGGCCGAGTCTGCACCATGCAAATGACTGTTGGGTCATATCTTATGCCAGAGGCCATTCTTGACCAGAATCCAGTGTGGTCACAGTCATCACCAAACAGCTGCCCTTTGTGACACCAATCATCCATCATTTTGTCCCGAAACACACGCGATACGGAAAAACAAGTTGGGTTGTTCCATTCCCAGCCCCATTTTCTTCCTGAAACAGACACCAGGGCTGATGCTTCAAGCAATGCTCAGAGATTTAACATTAAAGAATAGCAGTTACAACTTACAACCCCAGCTTCAAACACTTGGCAATATTAAGCTGTGAATTCAGCCTCACTTTTGCTAGGTGGCTTCTGTCATGCAAAAGTTTCAGCTGAATTCTGTCACTTGGCAATATGGATGGGTTGCTGCTGGATGATGAGTTAAGGAGAATCTTCCCAAAAGTGCAAATATTTGGGCCACGCTCCGACTTTGGAGTGCTCAGCTGGTGCCCATTGCATTTTTGCTGAGGATGATTTGGGACTCCAATTTCGAGCAGCTTGGCAGTGGGTAGGGCCGACCATGCTAGACATGTGACTCGCGTTCAGAAAGTTTCAGATATTTCGTATGCCTTTTTCCATGGCAATGGATTCGAGCTACTTCCACCACATCAGGCAGTGATTCCCATCATCGGCACCGTGCTATCTGGCCCTGTCTTTCATCTCAGGCGCTGTGACAAGGGGATGCTGGCTGCTGGATATTAGAATGACAACCAGGTTGCAATGTGGATATGTATCACTGATCTGGACGCCTAAAACTAGGAGAATAATTGTAAATTGAGCAATTGAGCTTTGCAATTCTAAGATGGACGTCTCAACCACCAGGTAGATGTATATGTATATATATATCCATAGATTGTGTGTTCTCAGGAGAAACAAACTATGTGCGTGTGTGTATATATATACACGTAATGTTTGGATTTGGGGTTTTCGCAGTTTGTGCTTAAGTCCAGTTGCAGCTACCCACTTGCAAGATTGAGTTGTGAACCATTGATCTATGCACTATATACACGTATTCCAGGTCCCAACTGATTGAAATTGAAGATAATATCCCAGAATTCATCAAGCGGATGTTTTTAATTCCATTTTAGGACTATGTGTATCCATGAACCAATCAACTGCCCGATCATTGTCATAAAAACTCTGGTAATCCAGCATCAACAGAAACCGCAGGAGTTTTCACCTGGGCATCGCTGGGTGGCAATTCCTACAGCTTGCCCGTGGCGTCGGTGGCACCCGGTGATAGAAGAACTTTTCGGCGGTGCGCGCTTTGGGAACCCCAACTTAGCCAGCAGTTCTGGCAGGATGAAGACTTCAGACAGATGGTGATTTTTGTGAGCCCACAAGAACCCCTGGTGCCCGAAATTGACCGACAGGCAGATCAAACATGTAGATGATTACAAGATATTACAAGTTTTACAGGTCCCCAAGGTCTCAGGTCGTATCAAAAAGGATGACCCTCGGGTGCTGCTCCCAAGGTTGAGAGACCTTCCAGTGTCGAGGTGCGCCATAGCAGTCCCGCCTTGAGATAGATATATATATAATATATATATATATGTAGGATTGGATTCCCAATGTCAAAAGCATAGCCCAAGATGTTGGATGATCGATGGTCTTTGAACCTAATCGTTGATTTTTTGTCTCAAGAAAACTTTGAAGGTGCACTGATTCTATCCATAGCTGTTCATATTCCTGCAAGGGTAGCAACAGCAGGGACCTTAGGCACCTGGAATCTTTGTCGTCATCCACATGCGCTGAGGAGGTGTCACAAGCTTGGGCCAGGGCCTTGATTTGATGAGTCTCTGCAAACGTCAGGAATGGTGGAGTTTCTCATCTGAAAACGACTCCTACAATGAATTCATGAGAAATACTTGAAATACCTGGTAAATACCATACTTTGCACAGTTGTTTCAGAACATCGGGCCACCAACATACATTTGTTCAACAGCTTCCTGGAGCCAAGCAAGGACGAGGGTTGGGGAACCTGGATATCCCAAGGACCGGTCCCGCCACGCCTTCTCAGAGCTTTGGGTTTCTCGGAAGGGCTTTTAGACGGGAGGACTTTCATCGTTTTTGTTTTTGGATGATCCGTTTGTTCAAAAGGTGCTTTGAGGTATGATGAAATTTGTGAGTTTGGCCCAAAATTGGACGACAAAAGTAAGCTAAGGTATTCCAAGATATTCCAAGAGTGTGCTGTTCAAAATCGCTCACAGCACCTCACAGCACCTCACAGCATCTCACAGCCACTTCTCCCACCCTTAAGGACAATAAGTGACAATGGATATAATGAAATAGTTGAAATAGTTGATCAATAAATTAACATCCACTGCTTGGTTAATTGGTCAATTGGTTTGTCTAATTTTGTACAGAGCCTTGTGACCGACGGCTCAAAAACGCTGAAGAGCCGAAATTGCGGGATTGCGGGTGAAAAGATCCTCCCTTTTAATTGGAATATGTGTGTATAATATCTCCCAACTACGTTGAAAGACTGGCTTCAAGTACTGGCTTAGTATACATAGTAACTGCACCTTGGGTATTCGTGAGTATCACTACCTGTTGTATCACGGGCTACCGAAAGATCTGCGACCCAGCCGCGGCGTGGCTCAGGCTGTAGCGGGTCGGTCTCCAGCAGAGTCTGCCAGACGTTTGGACGACTTGGTCTCTTGGTCGATGCAGTCGATGCCCACCAGGTCGAGTCGATCCGGGCGTCCACAAAGGAACTGAAATATCCGCCACAAATTCAGATCTGAACAACAGTGACGGTCATGGATGAATAGTGATGAATATGTTCCAAGACTTCAAAATGGATCAAAATGATCACTCAGAATGGATCCCCGTACCAGTTTTCAGCCGTACAAAGATGATAAAATGGTCGGCTCTGATGGATTTTGAGCGCATTTGTTGAACCCCTATGTGCCTTGGAGCCTGCTAATGATTGCTAATGTTTTGAGGAACACCCGGCAGCTTCAAAGAAGATTATGATGTTAATGTTTTTATCAAAATATATCCATCATATTTCTATGGCACGTCTCAACCCTTCCAACAGAGTTTTTCCAAGTCCAGATTCCACAGTGTTCCACGTCTAAGGAAAAGCGACACAGCTTTGAAGAGTTGCAAAAGCGCAGGGCTATCCAGCAACAGCGGCGACAGGAGTCCAGCTGATGGCAGCGGGTGGCAACGGAGAAAACTAGGGGTACTACATGATACCGAAACAAATGTGGTATTTTAGTGATCTTCATGATTGACCTATCTAATTTGCGGGTCATATGATTAAGCTAATATCTTGAGAAAATAGGACGCCAACTGCACAGCCTTGAAACTCAATTTCAGCCATTTTCCTTGACGATAACCCTATGACCCTTGCAGAAGATTCAACATTGGTTCTATCCCCAAAATTTCTGGTGCTGAAGTTGCAAAACCCCATTTTGAGTGAGAAACTGATTTGGAAGCAAGAAACCCCATGAAACCCCATGAAACCCCCTGTACTTGATGGGAAAACACAGAAAAACGATGAAAAACGATGTATTTTCACCACTGGTTTCCTGTATTTCTTTCCCTTTGAATCAGTGATCGCAGGACAAAGGCCGCCGTGCACAAATGGAGCGACTCCAGCGGCAGCAAGAACGGCTGGAGGACGCAGGGGTCTGAACAAAAACTGGGGATTCCAATGAGACAAAAATTGTAAAAAACATGGTCAAAATAGATAGAAATTTGGAAGTAACATTTGGAAGGTATAGAATGTATAGAATGTATAGATCTTAACCCCACTTTACAATAAAGTTTATTGTTCATCCAGTTCATTGAGATTTAATCGATGGCTGATGGAATGCAATGGGGATATGTATGCATGAAAAAGTTGGTTGGTGGTTTTGGAAAGAGAAATTATGTCAACTTGAAGACAGGTGATTCGCACATTTTGGGGGGGATTACGGATGGGTGGCTCAACAATAAATGGCAAGCAACAAATACGTGTGGCCTCTGTCATTACTTTGTGGTATCCCTGATGCGCAGAAAAAATCCAGCGAAGTTCCACATAAATGAAACGATGATAGGTATGATATACATAAGAAGTGCTGACCCTTGCGGATCTTTGCAATCCCCCAGTTTGCCCAACCCAAAAAGTCCCAGCTCCAGTAGGCCTGATACTCAGGGACTCAGTGGCAGTCGAGCCAGGAGCGCATTCATCAGCTGCTGATGAGCCTTGGATGGGGGCTGTGTTGCAAAATTTCATGCCCAAGATTGCAACATGTTTGTTTAAGCTTGGGGGCCTCTGCAAAAGATCCAAGAAAAAGCGACAAGGATCCATGTTTGGAGTATTGCCCATTGATGTGACTTCAACACTGGAGCACTAGCCAAAAATCATCTAAAAACCATATTGACTGATCTTGGAGTCATGCTAGAACGCCAGAGCCAAACCAGTGAGTCACAATCCTACTAGTGTCGCTTCATAAATCCTATGTTAGTTTATTCATAAAATCGGTTTGACCCCATGTTTATTGATTCAATTTTCATATCCCTATTCTTGCTGTGGTCAAACCCGCATAATTTTTGGTCATCAAACTGCTCCATCGGTCCCGTGAGAGTCTCAGGAAGTTCAGAAGCTTCAGACGGTGAACTTTGGAGCTTATTAGACATACCATTGCCTGGGGCTTGGAGGTATTGTCGTTTTGGTAGTCAGATGTTCGGGAACAGCGCCAAAAGGTTGCACAACAATAGACGCAATGTAGAGTTCTATCCCACCAATAAATCGGTTATGGTCGTGTTTGGCAGCCACACGCCTTTTTGTGCTGCGATGAAATGATATGAGGGACCATGAGGGACCCTACCAAGTTGGGCTGATCATTTTTGACTTGTGGCTCGAATGAGCCCCTCTAAGGTGGATGAACTGGCCACGCTCGGAAAACTCCCAGGATGGTCATTGGATTTGGATGGCCTTTGCAGAGGGAGGATGTTATGAGTTTCACGGACAGGACATCAAGGATGTCACAGCACAGCATCCTAAATGATCCAACTAGACAATGCTTAAGTTGATCTTTAAAAAAAAAAGCTTCAACAACAGAATTCCTTGCTATGAAGATGCAAAAATGCGTTGGAAAGCACCAACTAGACACGTTGGGTGCCAGCGGCAGCACCGATTGAAGCATGGGCAGATTTTGGAGCAAAAAGCCCGCGTCCCTTTACCACAGTCGAAATTTGATCTAAGCCATAGAGAAGTCCTTGTTGCCAGTTGAATCAACTGCTCAAGAATCGTGCATAATTTCGATTTTGCGCTGACCAGGGGTTCGGCCAGGTGCTTCGGTAGTTCCCCCAACCCGTTGCTCCTGTCCTTGGCTCCCAGCGTTCAGTTTTGGTCATGACTTAACAACGCCATGGGTGAGCGCCTTGATCAATTTAGCTGGGAGATGGGACCTATGCAGTTGAGCTGGGATTGATTTTGGGGGGATTCTGACCTTTCAGTGGGTTCATGGCCCGGTGGACTAACATGTTCAGCGAATGGAATTTTGCCGGCTGGATATTTTTCATGACGTGTTTTGTGAGCACGGGGTCTCACTAGAAGGAGATTTGGAGTGGTAGTCTCCAACAGCCACTAATACCATATGTGCATCTCAATATATATATACACATACATATATACATATATATGTATATATATATATTATCTTGACATCTTGACGTGGATGGCGGCTACTCGTAGCGCCACCCGTTTGAGTGTGTATCAAAAGACCTTGATACCGGCAGGTCATAAGACACATCAAGAATCTTTGCATCTCAAATGATTTGCTTCGGGTTCTTCATTGAAACATGGATGTTTTAATTATATCTATCATATGTGTTTTAATTTTGAGTGTTTATACTAGCATATGATAATTATACTGTTTTTTCTGCTTTCTTCAAACGGGCAGTTGCCTTGGATGCCGGCACCGATCTCGGCTGAGGGGGAGCTTCCGCTTCTTGACCTTGATCAAGCCAGTCTTATGGCTGGTGCCCGAGGCGCTGGTGATATTTTTGGCTTGAAATTTGGGAAATGGATGGGAAATGGGAGAAATCCATGTGTAATACATACATATGATATAATATGATATAATATGATTTCATATCATATAATTTCATATGATATAATACAATATAATATAATATGATATAATATGATATGATATAATATAATAGAATATAATATATATTATTTGACATAATATGATATAATATGACATAATATGATATTATTTAATCTAATATGATATATATATAATATATTATACTATGATTTAATATGATATAATATGTATTAATATGATATGATATAAGATGATATGATATGATATAAGATGATATGATATTTAATATATAATATATAATCTATTATATATTATATATTCTATATAATATATAATATATGATATATAATGTATAATATATAATATTTAATATTTAATATATAATATATAATTTATAATATTTAATATATAATATATGATATATAATGTATCATATATGTTTATCATATGTGTTTATCGTATGTTACCATTCCATCTCTTGGAAAGTTCTGAAGTTCTGGTGTATGGTATTTTGCTGAAGAGAGGTTCAGAGAGTCTTGCACCATGTTCAGATGGTTTCATTCAAATTGACCCACCTTCTTTGTGCTGTGGATGTTTCAGAAGACGCAATGTGTTGCTTCGTCTTGAAACTATACAGGAATACGATAACAATCACTGAGAAATTGCATTTAAGAAGTTTGTGCAAAAAGGCGAAGATATGGCTGGGGGCTTTGGGGTTTGAACGTCTTAAGCTGATGGGTAGCAACTTCGGATTGCCTCTCCCCACTGACCACAATTGTGTTTGAGTCAGGTAAATGCTCCAGAGCATCGGGTGCCCTTCAAAGAGAAAGTTTGTTGGACCGCGATCTCCCTCTTCGTCTTCTTGGTTGGGGCCCGAGGATTTTTAAGATGTGACCATCCAGTACTCATCCAGTTGATCTCTGACTTTCTGCCTTGACATGTTTAAATATTGAAGTGCTGCAAATCCACTTCCAAAGCACAGGATATTGGAAACTGGCAGAATTGCAGTTAGCATAGGCAATGACGGCGATAATCCAACCCTTTCAGTTACTTTGAAATCCGCCTTTGTTGATTTTTACCCTCTACAGTTCTGACGTCGTGCTGAACCCAATTAGGTTTGTTGCCAGATCCCTGTGTATGGCATCGTCACGTCCAAAAGTCTGGGAGCCTGGGTGTGGCAGCAATCAGTTGGAAACAATTTTGACGAATCGTTTCTTTCAGGTCGTGATGAATTGTTCCTTTCAATTTTGAGAAAAAGAACTGGTTGTATCAGAAACTTTCAAGCTCTTAAATGACCAACCAGTCTATTGACAGAACATGTTTCCTCAGGCCAAACGAAAAAGGCATTCGTGGCCAACTTCCTTTCACCACCGAGGTGCTGATCCTTTCTACTGGATGCGAGTGATCCTGGCCTCCAATCGAGGAACCTTGATGGAGTGACTTGGAGTGAGCCACACAGTCAAAATTATCAAGATTCCAGTGATTCCTTTCAATTTGTTTTAGCTAGTTTTAACTGATTCTTTGACTATGTAGTTTAACTATACAGTATGTAGATAATTATAGATATATACAGTTTATATATATTTATATAGAGAGAGTAGTTGTTGGTGTTGGTTGGGCTTATGCTTCCCCCTGAAATTGGTCGAATTGAAGGGTCTTCCCAGAAAAAAACATCCGTTGTGGGATGACTCCACTACTCCGCCTCCGGGACACCGGGGACATCGCTGAGGTTGGGCATTTCCCCCATCGTCACCTCAGGATGGATCATGCAGCTACTGGCAGGATCGCGCTACTTGACCGAAATGGAGGTTGCCAATGGTAATCTACCTGGTGAATCACTGATGATTGGAAGATTCTGTTTTGGGTGTTCCCTTGCCGGGGTGAGGGTGCGGCTTATCTTCTGCTATAGAAAGCGACTTGAGCAGATACGACTCGGGAAAGGCTGCAAAGTAAGGAAAAAGGAAAAGCATTTCAATGTGTTTCAGAATTTTGTTGGGACCTGGTTCAAAGTATCTTGTGCCATGTCTACACTTGACATTGTTTCAATCTGGACGCCTGTTATGTTTGCACCTCTTCGGAGGCTCACCTTGTCTTGACTTGTGGTTCAACGGCTCAAGATTCATAAAGCTTCCAACACAACGCCAAGGCATCATTGAGGTGGACCAGTGGCCCGTGGCATGTTTGACAGCCGCAACAGAGAATCCAAACGGTCCTTGATTAGTCCACGTAAGCAGTTCAGCGTTTCAGTGAGGAACAAGAATGTATCGAAGCTGCACAAATCCCATTGGACGCTTGACAAAGCAGGTTGAAACAATAATTGAAATGTTTTTGAAGACTTATTCCAAGTTGTTGTTCAAGACACTACAGTTACTCTCCACATAAGGTTCAGTGCTTCAATGAGCCCAAGCACAAGTTGTTTCCACTTTTTGGGTGCCAGGAGCCTCAAGGAGGATCGAAACTTGTTCTTCGCGGCCCAGAAGCTTTTTGGTCTTCTCATCACCCTTGGTGAGGCCAACCTCACCAGACCTATGGGGATATTCGGGATATTGCTATGGTTTAACTGTTTAACCATTGACTTCATTGAATCGTGTGAAATCCTTGTCATTCATATGATTTGATTAAGTCATGTTCAATCCATTTTTGTTGGTCAACATTGTCAACATCAATATTTTATCAATTTACTCCCCCCAGTTTGATCGGGTTAAGTTGCATCACATCCAGATTCCCCAGTGAATCCACCTGCTGTTTTTGGCGAGGCCTTTGCCTATGTCGTCAGTGGAATGTATGGAGATCCGTCTGGCAGCTCAGGTCTAGTGATACCACAGTCGTGACCATGTTGAACCCCCGATGCTGATATACTCAAGCTGGGAATCTGTAATAGTAGTAGTTTTTAAATGTTGCAAAGCAAATCATGAACGGGTCTGCCACAGTACAACACTGTTGAAAAAATGAATGGTACTTTCTTGAAATATGTTGATTTGCTAGAGATCTTTATTGGGCTGTGGCATGATCCCGTTGAAGGTGCATCCATGGAATGGCCAATGAGTTGTGCACATGTGATTAGACCAGACGATTTTCGAACAGTGAAGGATTCCGCTTCAATTTACTTCAGAAATCTCACGTGAGACATGATGAAGGAGATTCGATATCCAATAAAATACTAAATATTAGCCGTGAAGGCCATTAACGTGAGTATGTTTTGTTTTATTTCTCCAACATGACCAATATTAATAAGGTGGTTAACATATATGTATATATAGGTATACACATATGTATATGTATATGTATGTGTATCTGTTTATTATTTTTTTTCGCGCAGATCAGTTATGGCAGTCATGGATTGTTTTCCCCGCTGCATGGCCTGGGTTCCGAGGCGAGCGCTTGGAATGGGCATGAGCTCTTTGATCATTGCGTTGGGAGCTGAGACCTGCGATTGGTAGAGTTGTCCCAAAATATATTGGAATATAGATCAATATAGATCATATAGGATAGACATAGAGGAATAGTTGGAAGGGGACTACAGGGAAGCTGGCAAGATGGTGCAAAGAATGAATGAATCGAAGCTGCAGGAACCTTTAAGTTGGAGAGCAACAAATTACATTAACTCAACAACTTCGCATCTTTCATTTCGTTTGTTTTTTTGTAAAGAGATTTGGAATAGTTTGGATCCCAAGCAACTGTCCTTCAAACTGTCTTCCAAACAGTCATCCAAGTCATTGCCTCGGGCTCGACTGCTTGTTTCATGCTGAATCCTGTGTTTTGGTGTTCTCTTAGTGTTGGTTTGGGACTAGGCTTGTTCACAAAAAGTCTTTGCAAGACATGCCTCCTGACCAGCATGTCACCATGTCACATTTTCAGATGGATGGCCCGACATGTGTGCCTGTCCAATGACAGCTGCCCCATCCGCCGCAAGCATTCCCAAGAAAGTTTGGCTGAGGCAGCTTTTCTTTGCAGGAGTCATAGCGATTCTGTTTGGGACCTGACAAGCGGATGGTTTTGCCATCAGATGTAGAGTGAAGACATCAGCGGACTTTCCAAAGATTACCTGCCAGACAAAGACTCGGTGAAGTCATCATGAAATCAAAACTTGATGACGTTTTCCAAACGTGCAGGATAGACAAACTGGTGCCCTTTCTCACAATAATTTCATTTGTTGAGTGATTGAAGTTGGCCCAAAAAGTGAATTGAATATTCTTCAATCTGAGGGTTAAACTCACCATGCGGGTGTCCCTTAAACCGGTGTTCCTGCTGCCATCACTTGCAGATTTGTTCGGGATGCATGGTGATGCAGCTTGGGAATGGTGTAGCAAGTTCTTTGAGCAGCGACGCGTTCCAAATGGTAGCTGACAGCATTTCAAGTCACCTGTTTCACTGCAGGTTAGATGAGCTGTTGCAGAAGGCACGCTTATGCTGTAGGTTAGACAAGGGAGCCTCAGATTTGTGGTTTTTGGTTTCGACGATGATCATGATGATTTCACATGTTGATGACCAAGCGCCTCAACTGAAAGATTGCCCCGCGTTTTCTTTTTGGTGATGAAACAAACGCTTGAATCACTGCTATCGGCCAGGGCTACGGCCTCGGCTCGGGTATTTCCTTGTTCATTGCCACCAACATTTGCGAAACCATCGTGTGGAAGGCGCGGAGCAAAGCATTGCACAGTGTGATGTTTCTCCCTTGATTTATGGAATGTTTGATGGATATGAATGGATATATGACGGACATTTGATGGATATGATAGAATGAGATTGTCCAAAGGATTGGGAAGACCTGAGACTTCTGGAACAGGCCTTTAGCCCCACCACCATCAACACCGGGAAGGGTACAGAGTTCGAGGGCGCCATAGTTGCCCTGTCAACTCCTCAAGATCATTGGGCACATTCCATCACATTCCCACATGTTTACCAAGTTTGATGAACGACGGACCAGGGATTCAAAAAATCAAATTTCGCAGCGATTGCTCTCATTTGTCTTTTTCCAATGTGTGGAATTGCGAAATGCTCTTGCAGATTATTTTTTCAGGAAGATCTCTGGTGAGGGGGTCTCTTTGTGTGCAAATCCAAGGTGAGGAAAACCCCCTCTCACAATCAAAAAGATGTTTCATGAAACTTTTCCCATCAGTTTCATTTTACAAAGTCTCACCATCCAGGGAAATGCCTATTCAAGGACGGCCTGCGTGTGGTTCTGAGGTTCCATATCATGATCTCCCGGCCAGACAAGAAGATGGCACTTTCTGAAGCCTTCTTCCGACAAACTGTCTCGACCCAAGGGTTGTTTTTAAAATTGGAATGACATGAACGACATCGAACGATGGAAAGTTAGAAGTTTACATATTCTTAGGATCACTTTAAAGCCAGGTCCTTCAAGATACCTGCAGAATCCAAAAGATTACAAACCAATTCCCAAAGGTCCCGGAGTGGAGACTGACCCAGCTAAAGGATAACTGATGATCACTGTGCTTGTGCTGAGGCACCAAACCTCACAAACCTCATTGCAACGCTTTTCGTTTTTTTCATAGTGATCTACTTTCAAGGTTTTCAGGCGCACGGATGGGTTCGTATACACGTGGTCAGCAACTCTGCCTCGCGGTTTGTTTCTTCACGATCTTATGAAAGAAAAATGTGAAGTGTTGGTGGTATGACGGGAAACTAGTGATTTTGCACACCTCCGCCATGAGTTGATATTCCCATATCAGGTTTGTTATTTTTATATGCAGGGTGCGCCATGCGTTTCAGTCAGGTGGATCTCTCTTGCAAGTTCCACAAGATCCGCGGCCATCGTGGCATCTACCCTGTTGCTTGGCACGAGAGGTTAGATGTATGCCCCGGCAGACCCAAGGGATTTGCAAACATCAAAATATTGTCCATACCAGTTGTTGGGCCCCAGTTTGAAGCATTGCCTTTGAAGATATTGTGGCATGCCTTCGAGAAGCAGCTGCCCTAGGTCCGACTCTTCTACACCTCAAACATCTCCATCATCCTTCAAACTGCTGCCAGCTCAGCCACTGCTGATGCTTAAGCCGATGAATGTATTGTGTGCGTGTTTTCTCTGGAATTGGTTCGTTTGGTTGGGCACAGATTTAGAGAAGCATACATAGAAAATGTATGGATGGTTCAAAATCTTGTGACAGGATTTTAGGAGGGTCTTGTACTTGGCTAAGATTGATCCAGTGGTGAAAGACCCCGTGACACAGCTCACTTATCCCAAATAGGACCTAGAATGATCAGTGACACCTCTGCATAATTCGCACGCTGACTCTCTGAGGCACTTGTCTCCAACCTCTACTTTTTCTCTCAGCTGCTTTACCGACGGCGCCTTGGATGGCAATGGCCATGACGGTCCTGAATCGTCACCTGATCAAGGCAGTCTTGGGCCAGTCTTGGGTAGCCAACAGAAAGATGGCAGCACGGGTGGCTCCTCTTCCTCTTGGTTCTCCATCTTCAGTGAAGTCATGCAACATTAAGCAACTGAAGGTTTAAGTCGAACATGCTGGTGAACCTGCTGGGACAGTGGCCAACCTGGCGCTCTTGCCGCCAAGCACAGAACGATGGCTTCACAGAAAAACAGCCATGGGGCAACATGTCCATCGCTATGTGCCAGGCAAGACATGGATTACGGTGGGGAGTCCATTCCAATTGGAGGCACGGCCACGCAGTCCGCAGAAAGACCTATTGATTCTATTGATTCTATTGATTTTGCTGTTTGTCTCCAAATTATTCAAGGTGAACAGAAACATGTCAGAATGTCACTATGCCACGTAGTTTTTTTGGTTTTCAGGGATGAGTCCTTGCAGGACTGGCGTACTACATCTCACCGCCTAGCGGCTTCTCCAACATCATGGACGATCCTCTCCATGCCTTTTGCTACATCCTCTTTGTGTGTCTTGGATGTGTGATCAATGTGGACAAGATGAATGCATTGATATAATTAGGACAGGCTCCAAGTTGGGGAACTTACATTCTTCAGATTTCTTGGCTGATGCTGCGCCAAAATTTCAGCGAACAACCAGTTGCAGATCGAACTGGGATGTCGCAATGTCCGCTTCGAGGCTCTTCTCTTGCGCAATCTTTTCCAAATATTTCATCGAGGCCACACGGACAAAGTTCCGTGTCTCATTTGTTTCCAGTTCATGTCATCGT